GCAGGAAAAAAAAAAAAAAAAAAAAAAAAAAAAAAGAATTAAAAAATTAAAATAAGGAAGATATTCTTCATAAGAAATGGACCAAAGTAAGACAACAGCAGGTTTTCATGGTCGTAGATTTCTAAATAACCAGCCAAGCATCTTTTCTCTGATCTCTTCCTCCAGTGATGGGCCAAGTGGATGGGAAGGAAAAGCAAAGTCATTCTCAAGAAGTGAAGCAACCACTGTTAGATATTGACTAAGCAAATAGCAGTCCTGTGCCAGTCGCTCTCTGCCGCACTGAGGGATGGTTTGGAAGGTGTAGACTCTACGACACGGGAATCCTTTTTTCTTTTTAAATGAAAAACTAAGACACTCATAGCAAAGGGCTGATACTTCTCAAGTTAAAAAGACAACAATGGAAAAAGAAGCGCCTCAAAATTGTTTAGTATGATTTTAAATTTCTAATAAAACAAATGCACATCTTGGATGATCTACCAGCTACGTCAGCTTTAGACTGTATAGCAAAAAACACAGAACAAGCAATGTTTCTTTTCCTGTGATTCACCTTGTCATCCATTGGTTATAAAAAAAGATATATAAAAAAAATTATTTAAAACTTGATGGTAAACTATTTCAGAACAAAGATTCTAACCCACTACATGCCACCTTCTGCAGAAGTAAATTTCCCAAATGAAAGCTCCGAGCTAAGATGCTCCTTGACAAGAAATGGTACCAACACTGGCTATGGGTGAGGATGGGGCAGCATATACCGCTCCTCTTGCATAACACCATATAAATAAACAATTCCTTTTTAGACCTCTATGGATACTATTTTAGAAAATAAAATAAAACCCCCAACCCCCCTCATGCAAATTCATACGGAACATTTCAAACTCAACATTGTATTTTACAATAGAAGCAAGAAAATTTAGCCAAGAACTGAAAAGTTAACTGAGAAGTTAATAAAAAAAAGCTATTTTTTAGCAATGCTACTTACTATAGAGAGTTTTATATTTTGCAGGTAAGTACTAAACATTTGGTAACACTTTTCATACTAAATGAGAAGTCATCACAACTCAAAGGGAGACGTGCTCTTGTTGAGCTTGGCTCTGTTGAGTCTTCACCCAGGTAAAAAGCTGACCAACTATCAAACTTTCATTCGAAATTTTGCAATAAAAAAAGGTCTTTTTTTTAAGGCCACACAACAGGCTTGTTTTTTATTTTTTTAACGCTTTCCAAAAGTGTTTCTTTATTCTCTTCAGTTCAACATTGTCAGATGTGTAAACTGGTCTGGTCAGACTTCACTGCCACTAAGTAGTTCTGCAGTGTGTAATTTTAGAGCATTTTCAACTCTCTGCTCTCCTACGAGGCACAGAGAGAAGCATCATGAATGATAATTTCATAAACAGCCCAGCAATAGCAAACGTATTCTCTCCTTTTACCATGGGCTCATTAGGGTTTTTGTTTGTTTCGAAGTATTCCTCTTTTGGTTTGTGTAAAAGAAAACTGATGACAACCAATGCCATTTATGTCAAATGCCTTTTTTTAAAAAAAAACAAAACAAAGGAAGAACATCTTTCTGCATTTACTTACAACAATGTGTGCTGGAGATGGAGACCTAGCATCCTTGAGGGCTTGTCTACTCTGAAGGCTCCCTGCCTGAACATCAAGCAGTGGCCATTTCATCTGCAGATACTGGATGGAGGAAACAAAAATGGGGAAAGAAAAATGAGTTCAGAAAAGAAAAGCAAAAAAAATAACAAATCTTAGGTAACATGGGTAAAAAGATATAAATTAAAATTTATGCAAGGAACTGAAACAAAAATTAAGACGACTTTGCATGTTTGGGGAGACGAAATCTGTGCAGAACACTAACAATTTCATACTGTCACATTACAGTTCAGGAATAAGAAAATAAAGTAGACTGCAAAGACACTGTTACATTGCTTTTATTAATTGTAGCAAATCTAGAAGAAGAGTAAAACTCACACAGAAACAAAACACCAAAAGCATGGAGAGGATGGGACAAGGGAGGGGAAGGTGGATTATCAGTCTCAGAAGAGCAAAAACACATATCATCAGGTTAAGAGTATGATCTAATTATTTAACGGGTCATCTCTCAGCCTTCTTCCAACAAATGCACCATGTCATCTCCTCCAGTGCTGTATGAGCCCTAAAGGCAGAGGTCTACCCCAAAAAGACCCAGCACTGCTGGGTCTTCGCATCTATCTTCTCTACTTTCCACCACTTCTGGAAGTCACCCTGGATAACTTTCTTCTTGCTCATCATCACGAGGAGAGAAATCCTCTGTCAAACAACCCATAAGGGACTTGCAGTGTAACTTATTCAATTACAAAGCCAAACTTAATAAGCTCTCCTGTTGATGATGTCCAAGACAAAGTACAGCCTGGTGCACTCAGGCCCAGCTGTGCTGGCCAGGCGCTCAGGGATAGCCACAACTTCTTTATGTCACTGTCATTGGCAGATAGGCTGTATATGCGCAAGCAGTGAGTCTCCAGCATAAGAGGGTGTTGATTCAAAAGCAAAAAAAAAGCTTAACTACACTTCAAGAAGGAGCAGAACGTGGCCACTGATTTAACCAGCATCAAATATCGACTAAAACTTCAGCGCTCGGGCACACGTGTCCTCTCACTAAACTCACTGGAGGAGCCACTGCACCCCAGCCGGATGGCGCTGCGGAGCTCAGGGCTTCCACCAAACAGGTGAAGTCTCAAGGTGGTACCCAGACTGCTGCATCAGAGGTGCTCGATTCTGACCAAGAGCAGCCCCGCAGAGAAATGAGTTAGCCCAACTTCTGCGCGGTGCATCTAAATATCATTTCAGCCCAAAGTTTCCTCTCCACATGGTGCTGCACTGTGCCAGTCAGGCATACTGGTTAATACATGATCTCTAAAAGCGCTATATCGCACTGGAAGAAATGCGTACTGCCACATACCCTCAGTCCCCTCCCAGAACTACAAAAAGCAGCTGCGCGCATAGGTCAGGCCACTGAAGAAGATCCTATTTAGCACTAGACTCCAGTTGACCTAACAGATCTATTCCTAGAAATATCTAGAGAAATAATTATGTTTACCCGGGGTTTTTTTGTTGTTTTGTTTTTTTTTTTTTTTTTTAAAAAAAAAGATTAATCTTTAAGGAGAACCACACACAAACAACCCCCACCACCCCAGGAGAACAACGGAAGCCGTATCTAAATCTCCATGAAGGAAGGAAGGAGATCTGGTTCCATGCTTTCAGCACATCACTATCACATTTGCTCACGTATGCAAAACATTCGCTAGCATGCAAGGCCTGTTTGCTGCAAGACCCTGGGCACTGAGGTGACCAAAAGCAGGAGTCAGCAGGAGGATGCATTACCAATTCCCATCGCTTGGAGGGCCTGAGATTTCTGAGCTACTGGAATGCAAATAAACAAACCCATACTCTGGATTTGTGCCCCATACGAGTTCCTTAAGTTCCAAGAAGTCTTGTTTTTATTCATCTTCACATTTGGGATTTGTGCAATGTGGACCAGAATGTTTCAGCACTTCTTAAAAACAAGAAATAAAACCCAAACAAACCAGAACTAGTCTACCGTAAGCGACATTTCTAACTCTTACGACTCGATTGTAAGTCTCCAGATATTTGATCGCTTGTATCAAATCCCTGCTCTTCAATATAGGTGACCACAACATAAATTTTAAAGTTGAGATGATGTTAAAGTAACTTTCTAACCCTTTGTGGTTTCCAAAAAGTGCTTAAAAATGCAACCAATTGCACAGAAAATGAACCCAAAACCTAAGCCGACTGAGAGCGTCTTAACTTGAGGGGAAACCTAATACGTTTCAGATTTGCAGATGGCACTATTAAACAAGTCAACTGCTAAAATTTTTAGAAGTCCATCAGTGTCTTACACAGTGATCAATACACCACCACATAAAGGTGCATATGAATTTGCAGAAAGGGTCCTCATGGGTCACAGCTACTACTGGCTTCCTCAGGTTTTCCAGCCAGCTAGTTAAGTATTTTCCCCTTCTTCCAAGGAAAAGGTCTTCACAGGATGTGTGCCTCACGATACACAACTCTCGAACTCCACAACCATTTCAAAGAGTGAGAAGTTACTGCTACCATAGCTAAAGCACTTACAAGAACCCGCCAGCTCAACCAGTGGTGTTTCAGGAAACGGCCACTAAGCCATTACCCACCAAAATAAACCAACCACCCCCGTTTGTCCATGACCACTCCACGGTCACGAGCAACCCTGGAATATTCGTACAACCATGACAACCCATGAAGGAGCTCAGGTCAGCGGCTGTCCTAAAAGACAGGCCAAGAAACGCGTGGACTTCTTTGAGACCACCCCAAGGGCAGACTGAGACACCAATACAGCAGCATGAGCATGCTCACATCAGACCCCGTCCAGCCAGTAGCTATTGCAGGGATTACAAAGCCTTCAGGACTGTCAGCTCTGCTGTTCCTACTAGCAATAAATTCCCTTAGAAGCAACAGAGCAAGAAGGTATGGTTGCTCCTGCCCCACCTCGATCTCACAAGAGCCTGTACTTTCGGCACGGGTGCTCCCACCCCAGGCTGACCAGTGCAAGATGAAAGTTTCAGAAGATCTTACTGATAGTTTGCTTTTCTGCTTTGAAAACCTTTAGCTTGAACTCTCAGCAAAGTCCTTCTCTCACCCATCCCTGCCAAAAAGGATCCAAGTAGTCTTACAGTGCAAAGCCTAAAACGCAGCCAAAGCTGACTCTCCTCTTGGACAAGCACGTGGAGCCCAGCAGGAACGATTCAAACCCAGAGGGCTCAGTTTTGCAGACAAGCACACACATGGACAGCTTCCATTTCCACCAGTGGGTCATACACCAGTGGGGGGAAAAAAAATAAAATAAATTAAACAGCCCCCACGGAAAACAGTGACGTGCAAGGGTCAATAAAGCAACTTCCACAAGCTCTACCAAGTGGCCAGGATCCAGAGCAGCATCCTGGCCCCGCCAAGGGCGAGATGTTCTGTCTGTCAGATAAACAGAGAGGGCCAGAGCCCACAGCCAACGCCTGCGTCAAGCTAACGAACCCACAGCTTCCACGGCGGGACATTTGCAAAAGAAAAAAAAAAAAAAAAGTCCAATTTGCTGGCTTCAAGACGTTGATAAAAGTATGAAATATTAGCATTGTTTAAGGTGACGAGCCTGACTCGAGGCCTCCTCATCCAAGAATTGTCATGCCTGTAACACAATATTGATGTGGTGGCTTATAATTCTTACTTTACATAAAAGCTTCATTGTGTGCCAAATTCAATCTCCACAGGCTACCTGAGCCACAGATTTTTACGAGTCTACATTTCAGCGCTGCGAGCCTACAATACACATAATTTTCAATTATGTTAGGGCAGAACAGGATCACTGCCTATATAACATTACTGGTTGGAGGAAATGAGACTCAGCCCTACTGCCGAGAGAGCTAACTGGATCCAGATGGCGGGCCCAGCGCGGCAGCCGTCCGTCCGAGGGAGCGACGTCGCAGCAGCCGCCCCCCTCCACAACTCTCTCTTTCACCATGGAGGGAGACGCCAAAGCCACGGCCGAGGCTGGGAGCCGGAGCCGGGGCGGGAGGATGCTCGGACAGGAGGGGAGTCGCACCACAGTGTGGGGAGGGCGAAGGAAGAAGGGGGAATAGACGCGTGATCGCTTTCGCAGGTTTACTACTGCCGCCCTACACCGCAATATTCTTATTAAAGAGGAGAAAAATTAAGTCCCGTTACAGCGGAGAGGTAAATCCTTTCCTTCCTCGAGCGACTAAATAGCAGGAAATCCTCTTCTCTCAGCCCTAAATGCAGATTTGAGCCAGACGGTTCCTCTGATTTGCGAGGAGTCCACAAAAATCCAAAGCCGACTTTCCCAGCCTTCCGACACCGCTTTTGCATTTTTTTTCAGGGGGGCAGGGTCAGAGGGAAGGAATTTCCCACCATCCTGCTCCTGCGAAGGCTGGACACAACGCTCACTCCTCTCCTGCTCCTGTGTCTCAGTGTGGAAATTAGGACTCGCCTGTGCAAACATTCAGCTTTTCAACAAATTAACTCTAACAAATCTGTGCAAATTATTTCTGTGCGGAACTGTTGAAATGGGCTCTGCTGGCCTGCTTTTAACGTTTTTTTAAATAATGTCATCTTGGCCTAAGTATTTTATTCCCGGTTTAACAATATGATCTGATGGGGATCATTAGCATGTGTGTTGTTTTGTTTTTTTTTTTTTAAAAAAAAAAAAAGTTTTATGGCAAGTCTCAGAGAGCTTAAACAAAATAATTGTTAAGCTCCAGGCCTCCGCACAAAAATTAAAACACGTATGGGGCGAGCGCACTTGAGAGAAACCAAAGCTTTTAAAAAGGCTGTTAAATTGTCAGCACAAGGGAAAAGGCAAATGATTTGAACGGCCCAGATTTTTTTCTGTAGAAGGGGAACCAAAAAAAACAAACCACCCCACCACCCTACCCTCCGCTCCTGTGAGGATCATGTCCACACCTCCCATCCACAACCAGAAGGTCCTGCAAAGCACAGACCCACCAAGAGCAGCTCTCCATGCCCACCCCCCCCCCAAAATACCACCCAAGGCAGCTGCCTTCCTGGGCACCAGCGGGGCAAACAAACGTCTTTCCCAAGATTTAACAGCAGAGCTGGTGAAAAGCAGCTAAAATTCACATCCAAGACTAAAGGAGTTTGGTGGAAACTCTTACTCATGGCCAGCAGCCACCCTCCGTGCCGGGGCCGGGCTCGCTGCGGCACAGCCCCGATGGAAGGGATGGCACACATCTCACAGGTGTTTCCTGCACCGGTGTCCAACCTGGATCTGCTCCCTTGTCACGCTATTGTTTTCACTGCTGGAATGCTCTATGAGTGATGTCCCACAGCATATAAATACATAAATGCAGTTTAGAAATAAAAATAAAAACACAGCGTATTTTTAAAGGGAGGGAAATCTGCACAACACTTTCCAGCTCAGGTTTCCTGCAGCTGGTGCTTATTAGCTCCCAGGAACTGAAACAAGCAGGAGCAGTGCTCCTGGAGTCAGCTTGATGCCATGGGCCTCCAATACCTCTTCCTAACCATGGGAACACAGTTCCACCTTCAGAGTCTGCTCTTTCTCCCTGGATCTCAACACACCGTGCACATGGAAATATTCCTGCTCCCAGTTTTGCTGTTAGTCTCTCCCTTGGCCAGCACTGCAGAATCACATGGAAGAACACACCGGGACACCAACTTCGAAGCTCAGGGGTTAGCAACTCTTC